CAAAGGGCAGCAACTAAAGGCCACCCTGGGGAGGAAGAGAAGGACTGTGAAATACGAAGAAGTAAGACTCGATCGGAACCAGATACTAGAGAGTTATTAACAAGTAGCCAGGGTTGACTTCCAAGACGTAGGCGTGAATAATGAGATGTTGGGCCCATGTCCTGGGGCAGGAAGTTCCACCTCGGCCCGGGGCTCAGCAACCACCATGAGGCAGCTCACACCACGAGGAGAGAAATATTGGCATTCACATTCATGGTCAGTTTCCAAGGTTTACCTATGGTCACCGATGTAATTTGCATCCACAGAAGAACAAAGGGGCCCCTGACTCATTCACGAGGAAGCCAACAGTCGGATGCAGCCACTAAACCTTTAGTTGAAATTTTAAAGAGGCAAGGTGGTTTAAACAAACCTTTTCTCTTGACTTAATGAGTGCTGTCAGGTGTTTGAGTACCAGAGGCCCGTCCAGGCTGTAGGTGAAGTTAACGTTGTCAAAGACAATCACGCCTTCATGGGGCCAGGCCGGCGGGGGCCGTTTTTCGTATTCCCAAGGCGCTTCTTTCTCAAGGTTTGTATATTCCATCACCCTTTCTACTGAAATCATCTGCAAGACAGAGGACATCATGGGTTTATGGATGGTAAGAGACTGTAAATGAACCGTTCTGTTTTTTTATTTTAGTTTGAACCATTCTGTTTTTATACCTAGTTGATTAAGGATATCTCACGTTGAAACACCCCCAAAGGAGAGAAGTTAGGAATTGGATGAAGACTTTGATGATTTACAAACTTGTTCATCATCTTCTGACACTGTTACGTACTTATGAGTACTTCCCTCAACATTATATTAAAACTAAGAGAATGAGATAAAAGAATGCTAAGATCTCATTTACTTTTCATATCTGAATAAAAAAACAACAAAAAAAAAACACAAGAGGATTTTGTTAAAGAAAAGACTACTTATAGCCACCAATCAGTAATTTAAGCTACAGAAGGGCCATCTGTTATAGATGAGTCAAACTGATGGTCACCAAACCTCATTTTAATATCATTTCCTACTTCATTAGAAGAGCAAAATGAATATATTTTATTTTTACTATTTTCCTCCTTTTAGGAGAAGGTGCAAATATTCATAAGAGGAGACAATTTACATATTGACTATGCCCTCCTAAACAAGTGAACTGGTAACTCAACACCTTTGACCAGGCATCCGAGAGGAGCTTAATTCTACCAGAAAGAGGGACCCCAGCACATTCAGGTGTTCAGTGGTAAATTGCTAAATGCTAAAATGGGGGTGGGGGGAGGAGATGCCTATTAATTAAACAAAGAAAAACCTAAACATAATATTTTTTTTTAAAAAAACCAGGAATGAGGAACTACCCCATTAAGAAAAATAAATAAATGGGCCTCTGAGAAATTAGCTTACATCCACTCCAGGATTTCAGAACCGCCCTCCCACAGAGACCTGTATTACATTTGAAGACAGCTTGTGAGGCATACAAAACCTGCTGACATGGCATACATAAGACTGAGAAAAAGATGTGTACATTTTATTTTACATTAACTTTAAACAGATGGAAGCAGGATCTGAAACACGCTGTTAGCTCCGATGTAAAAATAACAGTTTTAATATTTCACATAAGGAGCGCTTTTATGCTGTTTAGTGGGAAGGAGACTGGAAAAGGCTGAGAACGTCAAGATAAACATTACCATATTCTCGACTTCGGCGCTTTGTCTGACGCACCACTGGAACATCCCCATGAGGGTGAGGGCGTAGGACAGTGCCAGGCCCACCTGTCCGGCATCCAAAGCTAAATGACGAAAAAAGGGGAGTCAAGACAGTCCATTCTAAACCCAGAGTCTGGCTCCTTCTGTCACTTTACCAAAAAAGACTCCTTTAAAGTATTTAAACACAGCGTTCGATAATAGCAATAGTTTACACTTTCACTATCTGTTGATTGAGACCAGGACACAAAACCCCCTGCTGTGAATTCACAATGAATACGAAATGAGTTTATTAATCCCACAGGACTGACACACACCTGGCAGATGATATGGGTAAGTCATTATTTAGAGTTTCCTCATTGTGGTTTCCAGGACCAGTATGTAATTTCACTTACGAGGTCCAATGCAACTGTGGTTGGAAACCCCTAAAAACAAAGCAATGCGTACGAAGAGCCAGTGCTTTTAAATCCAAAACACTCCTCTCATTGTTCCATTGTTCAATACTGTGATTTGGTGCTGTAACATGGAATAGTTAGGGATGGCGAATTCAAGCCATGCACGCCAACACCTGCTCATCTGGTACCCGCGGGGCAGTGAGGATAACATTCCTTCCCGCTGAGCATCTTTCTCCACTCAGTGCACCAGGCAACTACAACCAAGAGATCTGAGTGGTCCTGTCGCTAAAACCTAAAGCCCGAAGCTGGACAAAATGCTTAAGGGTGAACTTGGTTCTATCCTCACAATTACCAGACACTACCAGGATGCTCAGGGGGTCAGCTTGCTACATTTGCACAGGTCTCAACCCATTCAAAGAAGATCAAAGGAACTCATCCAGACCCCAGTGGTCCTCTCCGTGGGCCAAACAGCAGAATCACACCCAACCTCACACACTGCAAATGCTCTATTACAAACCCACTAGGTATTAGACAAGGTGGCAAGAGTTCAATTTAATACTTGTAAATGCAGCTATACATGGTAACCATACCACAAATAGTTACTCCCATCTGTACTTACTATTTGCCAGAATTAGGGACCCAAAGGCAACGACGGTGACAAAGATGGCACAGATGGCATCCAGACGCACAGCGAACCATCGGGACGTGGTCAGAAACAAGAACCAAGCCTCTGAGATTGTGAACCACAGCAAGCACATGGAAAAGTAGAAAGACCACGTTAACCACTTCGAATGAGGGGGAACACTGTACTCAGTTGAGCTACAGAAGATTTTTACACAAAGGAAGACAGCAGAGTTGCACACCTAGGGAACCTGAAGATTCCAGAAAGCTAAGTGCAGTATACTCAGGCATCGGTACAGTGGATTTTTCCTGATTTTGAGGGGAGCATGCATTAAAAAAATTCAACCCCCAGGTTATAAACAGACATGTGATCCCTCTACAGAACATGGAAACATGGTCTCGTCAGTGCATTTCTTCCTCAGCTGGGCCTCGACATGAAGCTCAGTCTCTCATGTGCTGTTCCCAGTGCTCCCACAGCAGAGAGGGCAGCTCCCAGTCCGTTTCCAGCACTTTCCATATTCGCTACGGGGCCCTGCACAGTGTTTATGCCTTAGGAGCCTGTATCTAAATGACCATCTCACTAAAGGGATCTGCGTGTAGCGTTCTAAGTGCCATTTTATCCTCAACATATGAGACAGATTGGAAAGCTTCACAGATACAAAGAAAATTACATATCAAAAGGGTGGCAAATCTGACAGTTAGGAAGTGGATTTCCTCAGTCACTTCTGCCATCCCACATGTTCTGAAAAAGGGGTCAGCAAACTATGCCCTGTGGCCAAGAACGGCCCACCACCTGTTTCTATAAATAAAGTTTTATTGGAACATAGCCACAACCATTTGCTGATGCATTATTTGTGCTACAACAGCAAGGTTGACTAGTTGCAACAGAGCTGATACAGCAAACAGAGCCTAAAATATTTACTATCTGCCTCTTTACAAAAAAAGTTTCCTGACGCCTGCCCCAAAGGGACAGAAAGTCATGGGCCCAATGATAGAAGAACAACACAAGCCAGGGGTGGGGTGGGGTGGTGGTGCTGTTATTGAGGAAGAGGGGAGCGCAGAGGGGGCAGGGGAGGGGAGGAAGATGTGCAGTGACAGGATGTGGGGCTGGCCCCAGCGGGAGGCAGGGAGAATGCAAAGCCAACAAGGCCACCTGAGAGGGAGGTCAAGGCTCAGGAGGCAGCCGGTCCCATCCTTTGAAACCGTTTCCAGAAATGTACAGACCTGAATGCAAATCCTGGTGCGCATCAAACAGTTCCTGAAACCTCTCCTCAGCTTTGTACGCCCTGATGGTCCAGAGTCCCTGGAGAGAAGACGATAAGTGGGAAAACACCGGGCTCCGAGCTGGGGAAGCAGAGAGAGACGACAGAGAAAGTCAGTGGGGAACCATCTGCCACGGCATATCCCAACAAACAGCACAGCCAGAGCCTCCCAGCAGAGGGCCTGGGGCAGAACGGGCTGTGCCCCTTCTGGGCGGACCCTGCAGGTCAACCCTCAAGCCCCTGGTCACACCATGCTTTCCATTACCCACTTGGGAATAAAGCTTCATTCTGACCCCATCTTTGGCCAGCTTCAAATAATAGCTAGTTTTGGATAAATTCTTTGTTTGCTAACGCATTCATCACAGTCCTGTTCAAAGGATCTGTTGGTAAAATCTGGGTGTTTAGGGGAAGGTAAGATCTCACTTGTGTTACAAGAAGCTGCAGAGATTTTATAAAATGACAGGGAAAAACTCAAACTTAATGCCAGCGCCTGATTCCTTAGCTCGGCATGGTGTGTCTGTGTGTCACACAATACCACGCATGTGGGCACTGCACATGTGTTATGGATGCTCAGTTAGTATCCACAGTTCTACAAGCAAGGAGGGAGCAGGCTTCCATGTGTGGGAAGCCCTGGGCTGTGGGCCATCTGACCATCCACTCAGCCTGGGGCTCGTTCCAGACTGAGGACCATTAGGGTTAGTGCTAGGGTTAGGGTCCCCAGCCTGTGACAGTGCTGAAAGGAGAAAACATTCTCCCAGGCAGATATGACCTCACACTTCCCCTTGTATCTAATCCAGGCAAAGAACCTCAAGTGATTCTGCGATGGTTCTGACCATCCAGTTTTATGCTTGTGGTCTTACTCTAGCATCCACACTGTTCTCTCCCCACCATACTGAGTAACTTTGAACTTCTCTTCCTTTAGTTCCCTTTAAACCTTGCACGTTGAAGAGAGCAATACGAACACAGACTGAGCTCATGTGCCAAATCGGAAAGGTCGGAAGCTCCACGCAGGCCTTTTCTGCACCCCCCAGCAGATGTCCCAGCCCGCACCCGAACACGGCCAGTCTGGAGATAAGGTGCCCATCAGGGAGTTACATGGCTCATTATATGAACAGAGTGCTACACACAGTACAGAGAACTCAAGGTCTCATGCCCAGAGCTAATGTTGTCACATCAACTATTTCGCCATCGACAATTCTTCTGAGAAGGAAAAAGAGGTGCTCCAGAGCTTGGACGTCCTCCTCACTTGCTTCCCTCATCAGGAGGTCAAAGTGGCAATTGATTATCCCCACAGGGTGGACTCTATAAAACAGGTGTCACCCAGCCTTGAACACCAGGGCAGCCAAAGAACACATCACCTTCTTGACCGCATCCCCAAGAGCGATAGCGGTACAGCAGGAATCTGGGCCTGTGGAAAACTATCCTCTGTCTTCCACACGCCATTCAGGGCTGAGAGGATACCAGGATGAGTGAATTGGAGGGTTTGCAAAGAAATTTAACCGGTACAGAGAGAGAGGGGATGCCAAGGCTCCGGTATTATCTTGCCCAATGTAATATCCTTTTTCCCACCGACTAAGCTGACTATCCTGAAGTAGACCTATGTAACACCCATGGCGTTAGTCACCAGTCACAGACAAATGTAACCTACATTTCACAAGACAGACAGCTGTGTTTTCCGTGAAACCTGACGACTCTTTGGGACACAGGGTTGCAAATCTTCCCTGGCAAGGTGGGCGGGGAACTGCATGCAAGGACCCTGGGCTGCCAGCCTTGCTATAGGCTCTTGTTAATGCTGTGGGTGACCTGCTAGCTGTCATGTTCTTAATGCCTTTGGTAGAAGCCAGCAAGCACTGCTTAAATCTCAACTCAAGTAATCCTCACAAGAACTCCAGAGGGCAGGTGTATTATATCCTTGACAGAGGGAAAAACAGACTGAGGGATTAAGAGCACTGCCCAAGATTAAGTAAATCAATCCAAGTAGCTGGTAGAGCTGAGTGACAGACCCAATACTGGCTTATTCCCAAGGCCGTGCTTTTAATCATGGCCACAGCACCTCACAGAGAGAATAATCAGGGGTTAAAGATGCCCGTGTATGACTAAATGCATCCCCCCCCACTTTGTAGTTTATCTTTAGAAAACTCTAAAATCTTAATCCACAAGCCTTACTCAATACTGTACATCTTAGTAAGCATCTTAAGTTGAACAAAGTCCCTAAGAATTGGATTGAGAACTCTAAAACAGCAGACACGAGGATCCATGACTTGAAAACACGTGGCACACGTGTTAACACTCCCCCAGCAACGCCCCTGGCAGACATTGCTAGTTGACCATAGAACCCTTACAGACAAAATGTGAATATGGCTTCATAATTCAGGCCTTGCCAAATGAATAGAGTTGGCTAAAGAAATACAGCTAAATGCCATCCAGGCTTTATGCACTTCTCTATGATTCAACATTGCTAAGCTCACAATTGCAAAAATGAAAAACCATTAGATCAATTGTAGATTTGACAGCAAGACAGCTTAAATGTCAGCCCAAGGTTGCAAGGTTTCAAGCGTGACCGGAAAACAAATCTCGGGACGTTAGCAGTTATTCAAAGCAAGTTTGTGCCTTCTAGCCAAGACAATCAGGTGTCCTTCTTTTTGCGGGTGGTCCCAACAGCGGCCTCAAGAGGTACTGTCAATAATTGCTTAGAGCAGTGATTCTCAACCTTCCTAATGCCGCAACCCTTTAATACAGTTCCTCATGTTGTGGTGACCCCCAACCATAAAATTATTTTCGTTGTTACTTCATAACTGTAATTTCGCTACTGTTATGAATCGTAATGTAAATATCTGATATGCAAGGATGTATTTTCATTGTTACAAATTGAACATAATTAAAGCATAGTGATTAATTATAAAAAATATGTAATTATATATGTGTTTTCTGATGGTCTTAGGCAACCCCTGTGAAAGGGTCGTTCGACCCCCAAAGGGGTCGCGACCCACAGGTTGAGAACCGATGGCTTAGAGGAAACAGTGGAATTGTTATTTATGGTACAGACCACCAGGTCTAATCAACTGGCTACCACATTTGGTTATCTGTGGGGTGTGGAGGAAAGAGTGGCCTCCAATAGTAAATGACTGAAGCCTTGTTGTCTACACAAAAAAATGGTTGGGGCTTATCACTTGACCCGCCTTCTCCAAGTCCTGTCATCGTAACAAATCACATCAACAGAATGTTATCAACACCTTGACGACACTGCTCCGCCACTCCATTAAAAGATCTAAGAAAACCAACCTTCAACAGTAGTTTAGCTGGTTTTCTTGATGACTGAAAAGTTGGCTATAGCTTTTATGAAACTGTCACCCGCTAGTCTTTATGCAAATACTTAGGACAAATGCCCTTCTAGGGTTTATTATTAAAAAAGAAACACACATTTGCCACAACAAAAACTCCTTTATCCTGATGAACTTGTATTTTTCCACTTGGTAGATACGGAGAACCGTGGGAATCAACATTTCTCTCCTTAGCCTGGCTTCCAGAAAGCTAAGCTGGTGTTATTTTGCAGTAACTATCCTCAGTTGAGGTTTCTGATACAATTATCTTTCTTCTTTATGTTTTGGCTATCATCCTTGTAGATTTAAAAAATACATATGTTAGTCTTATAATTTTTATCTTCCTTCTATATGTTTTGGCTATCATCCTTATAGATTTAAAAAACATATTAGTATCTATTCTCCTTATATGTTTTAGCAATAAAATGTTTGTGCATTAATGAGATAAGCTCTGAATCGGTACATCCTCTGTGATTAACTGTAGAACACAATGGTTAATCATAAAATGCTTTCCCCACTATTCTAACTCTAGGAAGCTGAATAGAGTAACAGACTAAACTGATCCCTCTCCTGTGCCCTCCCAAGGGGATTATTTTCAGTATCCATTTATACGGACAGCCCAAGGGGGTGGGGGTGGGGGTGGGGAGCCCTCAAACAGTGTGGGACTACTGGTGACAATAAAGAGCAAGACTGAAAATAGCAGTGCTTATCTTTTCAAAACATTTAACCACCACAACTTATTGGAAATGTTTTGAGTATGTGAGAGTAATATATTTTTCAAATGTATCACTTCCTGACACCTTTTCTTCCTCTAATCCAGAGGTTCTCAACCTGTGGGTCGCGACCATCGGAAAACACATATAGCATATCAGATATTTACATTACGATTCATAATAGTAGCATAATTACAGTTATGAAGTAGCAACGAAAATAATTTTATGGTTGGGGGTCACCACAACATGAGGAACTGTATTAAAGAGTTGAGGCATTAGGAAGGTTGAGAACCACTGCAATCTTTGCCTTTCCTTTGTCATTTCTAGAAATTCAGGGGGAGGGGGAGAGAATCTGTTTTATTTCTCTACTAGTTAAAACATGATGAGATACTTTATACCTAAGAAACATGTATTGCCCTCTGCTCTGGATTAGGAAGTATGTCATGACCAGGATGGAACTGTCTGTCTTCAGCGCTCACATTCCCATGGAATCTTACATCCATTCTTGCCTTATGCGAAGCTGAAGGCTGCATCTAGCACGGCACTGATCTATTTGCATTAAAGGCCACACTGACTAAAGGAGGTTTTAATACTCAGTTCATGTTAACGTTATGAGAATTTCAGGGGTCTCCTTAATCAGGGCATGAACGGAAGCCAGATTGCACTGCTGCCATCCCGACCTGAGAGCCTTTGTACTCACTTGTAGATTCCAGGCGTTTGACATCTCTGGACGTTTCTAAGAAATATCTCCGAAGAACAAAGAAAATGATGCCAAGGGGAACCAAGGGTATTGCAATCCAAGGTATAACCGCCACCGCCACGCCGACCACACCAATCACTTGCAGAAACGTCTGAAACAGTGAAAACAGATGCAGAGGTCTCCTGTGAGATTGTGATTTATAATAAGAATTAATGATTTGGTCTTTGCCCCCATTTCCCGCACAGAGCTCCCAAGTGATCAAGGTATCTTTTATGTTAATGAAGTAACCTGAGGAACACACCTAAAGAACAGAACTGGTTGCCAATGGAGCCAATCTATGGTTAGAGGACTAAAACTTTCAGTCCTACCCCCTGATTGTCCTGCAAGAAGGGAGGGGCTTGAGGCTGAATCAATGGCCAATTGACTTAGTCAATCATGACCACATAATGAAGCCTCCATAAAAACCCCAGCAGACAGTTGCTTGCCCTTTTCTCGGAGAGCTTCCAAGTTGGAAAACCAGAATGCTTTCCACCATGATGAGCCCCAAGCTGCACAAGGACAGAATCTCCTTGAGCTTCATTCAGGACCTTGCCCATGTCTCTCTTTGCTGGCTGTTGGATCCATATCCTTAGTAATCTTTACAATAAATCCGTAACCTAGCGAGTAAACGGGTTTCTCTAGTTTTATGAGCCATTCTAGCAAATTAATGGAGCCCCAGGAGGGGCTCATGGAAACCTCTGATTTGCAGCCAATCATTCAGAAGCACAGGTAACAAGCCAGGCTTGCACGTGAGTCTGAAGTGAAGGGCGGTCTGGTGGGACAGAGCCCTTTACCTGTGGAATCAGATTCCATCCTGGGCAGATGGTGTCAGAATTGAGTCGAATGCTCGGACATCATGCTGGCATCCAAGAATTGCTTGTTGGTGTGGGGAAGCCTCCACTCACACACATTGGAAATGGGTCCGGGAACCCTTTCACCTCCCTTACCAAGAATTCTTTGCAAAAATAGATTTAATGAGTTGTTTTGTTAGGATTAAATTCCTCACTTCCAAAGACGTGTTGTAATGGCAGGAAATGTCTTCCCATCCAACGAAAGAACAAACACATAGGTGTGATCCTGCTGCTACTTTTCGAATGCTTACTATATGCCAAACACGGAGATGAGAACTCTCTGGGCATGAGCTCTTTTGATGCTCTCGGTAGCTCCATGCGGTAGGCATTGCTATTTTCCTTATTTAGCTGATGAGAAAATTTGAGACTCAGAGGGGGTAAAACTTGAATCCCAAACTATCATGAGTCAGTAGATATCACCCAGGAAATGAGCAAGTAGTTATTACAGATGAAGAATCAGAAGACTGAGCAATACTCAGAGATAAAGAAGTGGATAGAGACATATGTAAAACTTTAGACAATTAAAAAAAAAAGAAGTGGATAGGTGCAATTCAGTACTCAGAAAAGGAGGAAAATGTTTACCTTGGGAAGTGGGATTGTGCTTTCATGTTCTACCTGCATTTAACACTTCCTGCATGCTGTCTGTGTATCTGGCTACACGTTAAATACTTCATGTGTATTAACCCACTTAATTCTCACAATAGCCCTATTGAGTTAATAATATTATCCCATTTTACAGATGGAGACACTGAGGCACAGGGAGAGGAAAAGCAACTTGACCCAGACTGCAAAGCATAGGGTGCTACAGAAACACAAGGAGGAATACTGGACCCTGTTTAGAGGGTTCTAAGAAGAGACTTGTGACCAAACTTCATAGGCGGGCTTAACAAACAGAGAGTGGCATGAAGAATCTGCAGGTAGTAATCACAGTTGATGCAACTTCTGACCAAGAAGGAGCCCAGCAGCAAAAGTTAACACGGTCCTCCTGTGTCGTCTCAGCACCAGCACTGCACCCTCTATCTGCCAGCCCAAGGCTGTGCCCACCACCCCGCCCAGGACAGCAATCCGTGAGGGAAAGATTAGCAGGGTGACGTCTACGCAGACTCAGGTTATCATTTCACAGCTCTTCCAAATCACTTTTCAGAGAGGTCCTCACAACCAGCTTGTGAATGAGGAAAGAAAGAACTGTCATTTCCATTGACAGATAAGGAACCATACAGCTCGGAGGTTAAGTGGCTGTCCCAGGTTCTCCCTGGAAGTTACGAGGTATCGTGGAGAAAGCCAGGAGCACACTGGACTTTGGGAATCCATATCCAGAGCTGCAGACAGGAGGAGGATGGAGGATGGAGCGAGGGCTGAAACTGTGGCCGGGAGCCCTTGTGAATCAAACTGCATTGTCTTGATGCAGACTCCAGTGCTTTTACTGCTTCTCCAGTCTCTACTGTGGTTATCATCACAAAACCCAGAGTCAAGAGGAATGGAATTCTGCAGGAACAAATTCCAATAACAAATGGAGAAAAATAGGGCTGCCTGGCTTCTTTCCTGTTATACTCACAACTGAACAATGTCTTACAGCTACTGGATTAACCAATGCATCCCACCCTGCTACACCCATGAAGAAGCCCACCTTGTCCTTCATACTCATGGGGGAGGGTCCTCCCAGCTGGCATCTATGTCTGATCTTAAGTGAAGTCACCAGGCTTGCCATCATTAGTTGTCAGGGGGACAGGGGGGAGAGGCTGTGGCTTTTCTCTGGCTGTTGTATCCAGGGCCTATTTTATTGGAATATGCACCTCTGAAATAAGATGGACAATAAACCTCATGCCTACTACAATTTCTGACCTCTACATATTCCTCCTTGCCTCCACCCCCACCCCCCCCCCAAAAAAAATCTAGGCCTTCCAAGCATTGATAACCTCAGGAACCTAAAGGCAACTCAACATTTTTTTTTAATTGTTATTGTTTGCATTCCACGTCCTTTTTCCTCTAAGGAGAAAGCCTTGCTTCTTCCTAGTGAAGACATACTTGCTCTGAAGTTGCTGAGCATTCAGGGAGACGTAAGGAAAAAGGTGGGGGTCTCTGAATCAAAACCAAACCAAATGCCTGCTTACCGGGTTATTCTAAATTTCCAAAAGAGAAGATCAATTTGACATTTTTCTACTTTGTGCATCATGAACTGGTGTCGTTTTCAAGGGAAACACAAAAGCTAGATAGAATTTGTGAACCACAGTCTCCAGGAAAGTCAACTGTGTCTGCCCCATCCAGGTCGGCCTTCTTACTAAGCAAGCATCTTGAGTTGGACGCCAGGGTGACTAAGGTAGAGGACCCTGCCAGCAGCGCCTATGAAGACGCCTGACAGGTACCTCTCATTCCCGGGAAGCTGCTGCAGCTGTGGGCAGCTGTTCCTGGCAAACTACACTGGCATCCAAATGAATATTAATGAGGTGCACAAAAGCAAACAAGGGAAAAGTGCTTATGAAAAAATTTAATAGTTTTAAAAACGTGCCCAGTCAAACACTTTGGAAATAAGATGCCGTTTTTATTGCTGATGCCTAATGGCAACTTTCCTCATAATACTGAAGAAATCCCACAATTCCCTAGATCTAGTTGGCAAGCAATGAAATGTTGGTTATCCCACCCGCCCAAATACTAATAACGGATACCTATTTCATGAAGCTTGCCATGTGTCCAGCCTCTTAAGTATTTCACATTCATTACTTAATTTTATTCTCACATCAACTCTTAGTAGAAGGGATTATCGTCTCCATTTACAAAGCAGGAAACTGACACTCAGAAAGGTTTAGTAATTTTCCCAAAGTCAGATAATTCAATCATTTTTCACCAGTGCCTGTTCTTTAAAATTCTACATAATATTGTATCCCATATACATATCAGATTCATATTTGAAAAAAATTAATATCGAGATATAATCCTATTTTATATTACTTTCCCTTCCCTACCTGCATTTTCTAGTTTCGTTGGTCTTTCCCATGAGGTAACCAGCTCTAGACTCCCAGCTAATTAGGGAATAATGGCGTGTTCGGTTCACAGAGCAGAACTGATCATTAAAAGATCTTTAAAATGCTTGCTAACAGAACACACTAACAGGTGTTTATTTAAGAATTATTGTTTAAATTAAAACACACACCCAACAATTTCATGAGATAGATCAATTCGAAGCCCAGAAAGCACAATGACTTTGGGGGGGGGGGGGGGGGGGAGAAGAACCAAATTTAATTTTAATAAATACATAAAACCCAAGGACAAAAAATGAGACTATTTCACATGTTCAATATCTGCATTTAGATGGTGGTAAAAACCTTTACATTTCTTAGGAAGTCTCTTCCTCTAGAATTAACATTGCATTCTAATACATAGATTTTAACATGGTCCCTTCACAAGCACAATTTTAAACACAAGGACCTGTTTGCCTGTTTGGCATCTAACTACCAAACTGCTTACAGTCCTGTAAGAATTCCTAGGTATCTACCCACGATTTACTTTCAACTTAATTCCATGGAATTCTGTTCCTGCTCGCCTTTGTGAAGCTTGTGCCAAAGAACATGTTTTCTATAAACAGCAGTAAAAAATGTATTCTTCTTATTCTATGCAAATAAATATGTCATCCATACTTTTGGCTCACTCCATTACTATTTGAACTCTTCCTCGCTCGCATACTTACATTAAATACTAAGTGAAATATGTATTTAATCATAAGGCCACTTAATCAGTAGACAGTACTTTTATTATTTGCTTACAGCATTAAAAAAATAAAACCAGTATCATTAAGATTGCTAACACCTCAAAGGAATTTCAAAGCTTTTAAATCTACTGTCAGTCAGACTCCAAAGAATTCTGTTCCAAGTTGTGATAAGGGCAAATCATCCAGATTGCCTTAAACTATTGGTGATCTCACAAAAGATATGGCTTAAATGCAATAAACAAAGCAAGATTCACTTCTTGGCAAGAAAACATGGCAAGATTTTCTTCTGATTTGGAGAAAGAAATGATGCCTAGTTTTTTGATCAGTAAGCTGTTTACTGATGTGGGTGTAGGAGAGATTCTTCTATCTATTTATTTTGGAAACATATAAGATAAAAAATAACCGTTCCATAAAATGGCTATCACACAGATTGTGCTGCTGGCTAGTACAAGATTCTTGTGGAGGCAGTACAATTTTGAACAGGCTATACGAAATTCTACAAGTATTAAGAAGTAAAATGTAATTCCAATCAAATAATACTCATTATACTTCAATTAT